ACTCCACCAGCCACAGCATACAGGGTGATAGCTTGAGCTGGAAACAAACAGATGGATTCTTACATTTTTTGTGTAATTCTAATGACAAATGCGAATGAGGTTTTCAGTGATGGCAATTGAGAATGATATAAATATTCCTTACATTGGTATTATGTAGAAAATGTTCACTGAAGGCTGAGAATCAACTGCCCTTTGAAATGAAATGCCATACATACATGTATAAGAGAAAGCTGCCTGCAGTTGAATGTGTTAACTAAATATCATAGTGCATTGAAGGTAACAATAGATAGTGTGTAGTGTTTAACTATTTTGATATATCTTTTAGATGTTCCCGTTAATGAACACTGGTTGTGTGAGACTATCAGCAAAACCAACTAGTAAATTATTACCAGAACATAGCCTTGGACAGTGTGAAAATTTCATAAAAGAATCTTGTTCATACTCACTCTGTGCCTGACTGTCTGTAGCCTCACATTCCCTCCCCGTGTGTCCATGCTGACACCTGAAATAGAATTTGTATATAAATAATAATGGTCCACTTTAAATCAAAATTTGATCAAGGCTCCATGTAATTTTAAAACTGTTTTTTTTAGCACAATACCTGTGTTTTTATTTTGAAAAATAAAAAAAAGGTTTCATGATAAAAGCTCCATTTTTTCCAAAAAAAAAAAAAAAAAAATCTGATAATCAATAAATAAATAAGTTAATTAATGAATGAATTAATTAAATTGCTGGTTACAGGTCTAGTGACAATAAGCAAAGGAGTGCATTATTGGAATGTTCATACATTTGTATATAATGTTTATAATGATGAAGTTAATGTGGCAAATGCAACGACATATATGTTTAAAGATGAGAAAAATACTAAAATTTGGTCTGTATCACTTTATATATTTAGACACAGACTAAAATTGAAGCTTAATTATACAATGAATATTTACATCTTTACCAAAAAGCATTACAAAATAAAACTGATATTTTTTACGACAAGCGCACATTTCAAGGTGTTAGTTTGGACAGCAGTGAAGTAGAGGTTGGGCATTGTGTTTGGATGTGCAAATTGAGTGTGTTAGTTGAGACAGTGAGAGCACTGAACACAATCTGTACCTGCAGAAGAAAGAACTTTCATCACGCTCACAGGTTCCCTTGTCATTACACGTAACCCCGCTGCAAACATCTGAAACATAATGTCACACATTGTATTTAATATCCAGTATACAATGATATTTTATAACATGCACAATAATGTATAAAGAAAGACAAACAAATACACAAATTAAAAACAAAAGCCTCATTTCATGCCAGACCCTTACTACTAAAAGTGTTGTGTGCAAATTCACTGATATGTCTTCCCATACCCCTAAATATTAGGACAACATACACATATGGCTATAGTGTGGTGGATCTTTTTTTTTTTTTTTTTTTGGGGGGGGGGTTCAGGGGGATCCTGCCCCCCCCCCCCTTCCCCCCTTTCAAATAATCCTTATATTAATTGTTTTATGTATTTAACTATCAGTTAGGCATGGTTATCCTTACCTTTACAATTGCCAGAATCTGGATCTCTGTTTTCGCCATATTTACACTCACACTGGTAGCTGCCTGCGGTGTTGATACATTTGAGTTTTCCACATGTGTGTTTTTCTGTTTTGCACTCATCTATGTCTGTGAAATTAGAAAAAAATGAAAGACAACAACAGTATTAATTTAAATGAATGGTTTCTTTGACACTGAAGATATGTTTTCCTTTAACATAGTCAATAAAGTACATCAAAATCAACCATATTGCAAAGCAGTGGCGGATTTTGAGGGGGGGGGGCAGGGGGATCTTGAGCCCCCCCCCCCCCCCCCGATTTCTGGAATTATTATGAAGTTTGAGATACTCGCTCTAGTGCATTCTGAGATTACATATTTATGTGAACTGTGAAAAAGCTTTTCGAAAAATTGTAATAAATAAAGACCAGCTAGTAC